GTGGAGGATGGGGAGGAGGAGCGCTTCCTGGGGGTTCTGGTCAGCATGCAGAYCGAGTCGTCTACTCAAGGTCTGTTATTGCAACAACGTGTGTCAGCTAGACTCAGACTATGGGGAATTGCGTTTCATTTGTCCCTAATCGGGAGGGCACTGGTCACCAACGTGGCTCTTTTCTCAATCCTATGGTTCGTGACCACGGTCAGGGAGTTAGCAGAGGGTGTGATCAAAGCAATTAGACGCCTGGCTTCCAGATTTACCTGGAAACCAAGAGCGCAGGCAAATGAAGGTTACATCTCCAAGGTAGCCTTTGATACTCTGTCCTTCCCCAGATCGGAAGGTGGCCTGGGTCTTATGGACCCGGCCCGTAGGAACCAGTCCCAGCTTCGTTGCTGGGTTGCCAGGGTTGCAACACAGAACACAAATGAGCAGTGGGTGATTTTGGCCGAAAGAATTTTGATGGATGAATGGGAACTGTGCAGGCCGGAGGATGTGTGGGTATGTTGGTTCTTACCTTCTTTCAGGAAGAGGAGATTGAAGTCAGTGTTCTGGGAAGCTATCCGGAAAGCCTGGAAGAAGGTCCCCCCGGATGTGAGGTCTCCGCCGTCTACCAAGGAAGAAGTGTTGGCTCAAGTCTTGTTCGAAAACCCCGCCATTTTGGACCAATCCGGGGAAAGTTTTGCTGCAAATGGAGCCACAGGGTTGTTCGGGCTCAGCTGGATCAAGCGTGGGGTAGTGCGGATCGCGGACATCTGGTCCACGCTGTTAGGGACCTGGGCACCTGTCTCAGAGATTAAAGCTTCACTCAGAGGCCTGCACAGAGTAGAAGAGCACAGGGACCAAGTTATTAATGCCATCCCTCAGTCTTGGTTAGATCTGCTGGGACCGGAGGGATTGGATCCTCCAGGCACATGGTACACTTCGACACAGGAGGAGGAGGCGAATGTGGTTTGGAAAGTAACATAAATCACCGAGAGCGGGTTCAGAAAGGTGGAGAGGTGGAAATGCGAGGGCCCAAGGAACAAACTGTCATTTGTGGAAGAAGAAGTGATTCGCGTCTGGGACAACCCTGCTCAGATCAGGGTGGTGGAGGACCGGAGCAGACGACCGGCAGCAGAAGTTGTCACGTGGATAGGAAAGGTTCCTCTGAGAAAACTGTGCATTGATCCTACGGCATGGGGCTGGTCCGCTAACGGGAGTTCAAATCAAGTCTTGTACTTGAGAGACTATACAGTCTCCAACGGATATCGTCTAGCGGCAGGTAACCTCAAAACACCGGCCAAAATTGCCATCCCCCGCTGGCAAGCAATCTGTTCGGAAGACTTATCTGACTCGGAGTCGGAGTTTACAAGATTATGGGAGGCCCTGGCCAATTTACCGAATGGCAAACAAGTTAGCATACTGTGGATGCTGTCGTTGTTAGTCACACCTTCGGCTGTTTGGTGTTTGAGCAAAGGAATGGAGGTAAATGTAGGTTGCTCGAGGTGCCGATGGCCGTTCGAGTCCACACGTCACCTGTGGKGGGACTGTCCCGCCTCCAAACGAGTCTGGGATTRGTGGGCATACCACTGGAAGGAACTTGGGGGCCAAGAGGTGCAGTGGGGAGAGAGATGGGTTCTCCTGGGATTTCTTCCCCCAGGGGTATCCGGGAAAAGAGGATGGGGATACATTGCGCACGTGATGAGAGGAGTGATCTGCGAAGTCATTTGGATGGAAAGAAACAGGTCGAGATTTCAGGGGAGACCTTTCTCCGACCTGGAAACCAAGAGCCACATAAAGCGAAGCCTGAAACTGGCGATCAGAGTGGACTGGAGGAGGAAAGCGAAATGCGGCAAGGGTGACAGGAAACATCTCAGGTGGTTTCTACGCACTTGGGCGAGAACGCACAGGCTGGCGGAAGTGCACAACAGGAAGGGGCTGATTCTGTCCAACTGGGTCCTGGATGTTAGCAACAACACGTAGTGGCCTGAGAGAGTAGGGTGGGAGCGAGGAAAGCAATTCCGGAGGGAGGGGAGCTCAGAGTCCGGGGGGGCTCCCTCGAACGGAGGGGCCCCGAGTACCAGGGCACTCGGTCTTCTAGGGCCGCAGTGGGCCTTTAGGTGAGTGCCAGTAGGGCAGGGACGCAGTCCGCTGGGCCGACTTAGTCCCAGTTCGAATCCCTGTTCCTGTTAAAGGAACAAGCCTCCTGCGACATTGGGAGGGAAGAAGTCTGGCTTAACTCTAGTAAACTATGCTTTATTCAGTCTTTGCTGTAATGCTTGATGTTTGATTGAGTATCCCTCAGTAGGAAAGGTCATTTTAGTTGGCCAGACTCTCGGTATAGTTAACATAGCTTCGAAGAAGGTGGGAGCTGAGTGTAGAAGAAGGGGTAACAGTTTGGTTGTACTGCAAGGCTCGGATATGTTAGTGAAACTGTATAGGACTTTGGAAAGTTGGCAGATTCAACTTTTCGCAGGTGCCAGCCTGTAAGCTAAGCTGGCTGATGCTGTCAGTACCTCCGGGTAGAATTGTGAGGTCCCCGGCCTCTGTTGTTGGATATAAGGAAAGGAAAGAGATGGGGTTCAGATGTCCAAAAAAAAAAAAAAAAAAAAATCAACAAATTGAGTGCAGATGACACCCACTCTGTCCGCTTTCTGGCCGGCCGTCTGAGCAACAACCCGGGTTCCCCTGGTTGACCCCTGGTACGTATAGCTAGTCTTCCCCCGAACAAAACGTACGGTGATTCTGCCTGTATGTGTGACTCAACTTTCACTCCAGATGGAGTGAGAACAACAGGACGTTCTCATTGGGAGAAGGCGGGTAGAGGCTGCATCCGACCACATCCATCATGGTTGGAAAGCCCTTGGGCACTAGATTAGGTAATGTTCTGAATCCACAGCGTGGGAGGATTTCACACAGAATGAGCAGATGCGAGATACAACACGCTTTCTATTCTAAGCGTGAGCGTGAATACAGCCACGTGTCGCGCCGAGAGTCGTCCATCTGCCCGCATACCCGTTCCTTCTCCCGGGATCTCGTATTGGGGAGATACAGCCACGTGTCCATCTTGCCTGGTTCTGTGAACTCGCATCACGTCTAACTGCAAGGCACATTGAGATGCAGACATCTACCTTGAATGAGCATTTCAGTCGAAGTTACTGAAATGAGCATTCCAGTCGAAGTTAATGAAATCTTCGGGGGGCTTTGGTTGAGAGTTGCTTACTGATCATAATTTGTTAATGATGATGATTCTAGTGTAGATCTTCTTTTCAAGTGTCTTTTGACGCTTTTCCTATAGCAGTCTTTAACTGTGAACTTCCACAGTCGTAGCGGTTTTCACGCTTCCCATTCGCATTCTGGTGGGGATTGGACAGGGAGCGAGCAGATCGAGGTTGCCAATCTATACTTCCAGAGGGCAGTTGTTGTTTTTTTGTTTTGTTTTGTTTGTTTGTTTGTTTGTTTTTTTTTTTTTTTTTTTTTTTTTTTTTTTTTTTTAAAGCTATTTTTTAAGCCCAAGCAATTCAATTGCCTAGCTCAGTTGGCAAGGCACGCAAGTGGCAGGTCTTGGGTTCAATCCCCATTGGCCTCATGATCCTTCCTGGGCAAGATTGGCGCCCGCCACCTAAAGATATGTCGTTGGTCCCCCCCCCCCCAAGTGGCATTGAGCAGAGACTGCTGATGTTCATAGGGGGAGGGAGGGGACCTGAGGGGAGGCACAGCGACTGGCCCATCGAAGAAGCTCTTTCGGTCCTGATACTACCGGCTGACCCCTGGCCGGTATCACCCACCTGCTGTAGCATGTATGGCACCTGCTGGTGGGTGCAGCTCCTGCATGTTCCCTCATTGGAGGCTTGAGCACGGATGTGGCTGCTATGGGGTTCTCTCTAATACTGTAATGACAATAAATCTAATACTATACTGACAATAATAAAGGCCTGAGAGGGCAGTTTTTTCCCTTCCTTGATACTCTTGCCTTGATAAGTGCTGTCATGATTATTCTGTCTTTGTTTCTAGCTAACCTGAATAGTCCAGGTCTGGCCACTTTAGGTTTAGAGGTTAGGGGTTCTTAGGGGTTTGCGAGAGAAATTTCACCTTTCCATGGACATCTGCTGCAGGCTGTGGGGTCCTGTCCTGGAAACAGTTTTTTGCAGCAAAAAAAAAAAAAAAAAAAAAAAAAAAAAAAAAAAAAAAAAAAAAAAAAAAAAAGTCGAAAAGGTCTTTATGGAATTGACAAAAAATGCGAGAAAATAGTTTATTAATCACGAAAACCGTGTCGCACCGTTGAGCTAGCTCAACTCAACGGTGCAAGTGGGACATGGCCCCCGGTTTCAGCTTATGTAATAAAGTTTGATTTCCCAGGAAAAAAAAAAAAAAAATCCACAAACTTCAATGGATGATGGTAGCAGTAGGCATGTGTCACACAATGGGTCGTGTCATCATTTTTGACATGTGATGCTGCATCGATTGCCGCATTGCTGACAGCTTACACCTCAGAGCGCGGTCCGAAATAGGCAGTGGTGATCATCCTGGAAAACGATGTCCTTCCTTATTATTATTATTATAAATTTATAATATTACAATAATAACTAGGGTTTCACACAAGGACTTTTCGGACTGAATCTGGCCACAAGTGTGGAGATGTCCCTAGTGTGAATATATGCCCAAAGTTGCAATGCAATTGACTGTATTGTACCTTTGGCAGGAACTTGTCTGATTACTGGACGAGTTCTAGTGTGAGTTCTAGTGTGAGTCCTAATGTGCGTTCTAGCGTGAGTTCTACTATAGTGAGGTCTAGTGTCAACTCTAGGGTGAGTTCGAGTGTGCGTACCAGACTAGTGAACTTATCTCATGACTACCCTCTTCCCCCGGATACAACGTACGGTAATTATAGCTGTATTTGGAGTATCTTTCAGTCTAAATACAGTTATAATGACCGTACGTTGTATTCGGGGGAAGAGGGTAGACGAGTTCTTAATATTTGCTTTCTGTGACTGTCTTCTCCATGGTGGAGGGGTTTCTTGCAGGTGAGAACGTCGAACCTGGTCCTCTGGAAGAAGCGATACTGAAGAGCAATCTGATATCGCAGGTTATGTTGGTTGGGCAGGTCGGTTGGAAATTCTGACGATTCCACTCTCCTCCTCCTCCTCCTCCAACCTCGTCCCCTCCTTCTCCCCCTCTCCCTCTCCCTCTCCCCCTCTCCCTCTCCCAGAAGAGAGGCATACTCCTATTATGGCTATGGATTCATTCGAGTTTTGGTTTAGCGTTCACCTTCGTTCTGTCAGAAGCCTGCTCAACTATGGATGCCCAAGCTTATGACTTTGAAGACTCCAACAAGTATAACTGGGACTGTGGCATGCATAGTCAGATATTCCGCCTTTTGCTTATTCGAAAAGAAAAAGGAAAAAACTGCAAGGAACCTTCCCCTGTGGAGAAACACAGACCAGTCCTTCGGGACATCCATTAAAATTGGAACGATACAGAGAAGATTAGTATGGCCCCTGCGCAAAGTGGGGGGGGGGAGAGGGGAACTCAGACCACACGCATCATGAACTCTCACTTGACCAACAAACACACGGCGGCAAGGCAGTTAGCAGAATTGACAAGGAGATGATCACATGAGCACAAGAATGAAAACTATCTGACTCTCTTGGTGATGAAAGGCCCCGTTTTGGCATCCAGCGAATTACAACAACAACGATAGGTCATCTCTGCTCTCGCTGGTCTTTGTACCCGCCCTACGGTCGTTACTCTAACAGAACGTCCGGTCATTATAGCTGCATTTGAGGGCAACTTTCAGTCTAGATACTGCTATAATGACTGGACATTTCTGTTCACGTGAAGACGGTAATGGTCACCTGCTCTATCATCTACTCTATCCTTATACTGCACCGTCCCTAAGAGTCCCATGCCTCAGAGTCCCATTCCGCTTCCACTTCTGCTGCTGAGCACTTGAAGAGTCTGACCCTACAGGAGCTCTCCCTGCCGACCACCAGGTAAGTACCCTCCAACTCTCCTTTTCTCCGTGGTTTCCTCTTTCCCAAGGATCTGCCCGTTCAGCGCCTTATTCCCTTTTTTTTTTTTTTTTCACCTTATTCCATCTCAGCGCCGCACGTCTGTGGGGCCAACCTGTTTTTCCGGTGCCCGAACTGCTCTGGCGGTGGCCTTCTTCCCAGCGCCCAAACTGCCATGGCGCCATCCTTGGTGATCTCTCTAAGCCCGGCTGTTGCTGGCGCTGCCTGTTGGCAGAAGCCACTCCTTCCTCCAATTAGCTCGGCTCACTATGAGCGCCCGCCGCCCAGCAGTATATTTGGCGAACTCCGTCCGATCAAGACATCCTTTTTTTTTTTTTTTGAAAAGGTGTGATGGCCTCGATATATCATTGTCAAACTGACCGGCTTTACGTAAATTCAGAGTTCTTTTACTCTTCTGAGTTCACGAGGACTCGAATTGAGGTCTGTCTTTCAACAGCTGACAGATGCACCAACTGAGCCAGGCCTGTCGGTACCAAGACGTCTTTGACTTACTCGGGCCCTTCCTGAATGCTTCGGCCAGGCTTCTCTTGAGCCGAGAGGGGCTGCCTTCCCAAGACTTCCGGTTTCACCCGTGCCCTACTAGCTCCCAGATGGCCTGGTCGGGCCGAACCTGACCGGGTTTTATGATTTTATCCCTTTGGCCTGAGCCCAGGGCCTACCGGAACCCAGGGCCTACCAGAACCCAGGGTTGTCACAAAAAAAAAACAAGATTTTTTTTTTTGTTTTTTTGTTTTTTTTGTTTTGTTTTGTTTTGTTTTGTTTTAATGCCACTTGTTTTCATGTTTTACCAATACTCTGAGACATTTGACATCCTCTCTTTTTTTTTTTATGTTTTTTTTTGCGTTACCTTCACCGACACCTGGCTGTCTCTGGCTGGCTCGATGTCCAGCCGGACAAGGTGCCACCGAAGGTCCCAGTAGCCACAGTGCAAAATAGGAAAAAAGAGACGCATCGCAAAACAACTGTTGGCTGACGGTCCCCACAGTATTCCTTATCGAATGAAGATTAAGAAACTGTAGTATTTGTTCTCCTGAGCTTAATCTTCTCCTTTAGGAAGAAACCGGACCAAGGGAGGGGTTTCTACAAACTAAACACGTCCTTACTTACCTCTGAAAAATTCCAGTGATATATCAAGGATGCTTGGACCTACTGGCAATCATAACGGGACACTAACCAAGACGACGTCCTTTGGTTTAATAATGGCTTGGCCTTTGTGGCCTGGAAATGTAACGAGTATTCAAAAACTTTTAGCAGATCAGCGCCATTTAGAAGAGATGAACCTTCAACATTGCCTGCAGTGCCCTGCACCAGTTATGACAACAAGAGGATTACCCAATTGAGGTGACACGCGTGGAGGAGCTTGCAATTAAAAAAATCCAGAGAATGGAGGACCAGCTGTTATCCTTTCTTTTCTTTTTTTTTTTTTCTTTTTTTTTTTTTGAAAGAGCCCTTGTGTAAGCCCTCAATCCCAGCGGTGGTAAGAGAACCGTCAGATTTGAGGGCTTATCTGCCAGGCTGGAATACCAATGGTTGGGCGCTCGCATTAAGGGGGAAATCCAAATCCATTGACACAAGCTCGTTTCTTTCCCATGGCAAGGGTCTGGACTGGAAAATCCATCATCGAGGCGTTGGTAGACCCGAAATAGAACCAAGCCCCACTAGCGACCACCACACCTCAATGTGTCCGAATTGCCTGTGACTTCTTCCAAAGATTTCCTCACATCCAGATGTGGCCACCACCCTTAGGACCAGCGAGTAATGGAGATTGATTAATTCCTTACTCCCATGAACAAAAGAAATGCTACCGAAACCTCTCTCCAAGGAAGAAGTATGGTCTGCCCTATTACTCACGGAAGAAGAGAAGACCCTAGGGATCGATGGCCTCCCCAAGGAGTTATGGGAATTCCAGTGGGGTAGTATCTCGCAGGATGTATGGGATTATTACCAAGCTGCCTGCATCTCAGATTCTCAGGGCAAATGGGAGAATTCGTCGGACAGGAGGTTCTGAAGTTTTTTATACAAAAAAGGAGATAAAAACAACATCCGTGACTGTCAGTCGACCTATTGGTGGCTAAAGCACTAGCAAACAGGATGAACCGGATGATGGAGAATATTATACATCCCGCTCAAACTGATTTCGTAAAAGGAAGAAAATTACAGGATAACATCCTCCTCATCAATGAAATCGCCGTGCTCATTCTACAGTCAAAGCACCATCCAGCGCTATACCTTCTTCCCCCGAATACAATGCACGGTCATTATAGCTGTATTTACTATTTCTTATTTAGACTGAAACATACCCCAAATACAGCTATAATGACCGTCTGTTGTATTCGGGGGAAGAAGGTAGTCCCCTGCAAGAGGGTCTCGACTCTCGATGGATGGATGCTGTGTGCAGAGAGTGCGTGTGTGTCACTGCAACCGTGCAGCGGTGGGGTGGATACGAGGACCAGTATCGTTCACCTGTTGAACACCGGGTCACAGTTGCAGTGGTTAAGGCGTCTGGCTGTTTAGCTTGAGATTGGCAGTGCGATTCCTTGAAGGGTCAACAGTAAGGTTAGATACCCATTTCACTTTGCGTGGTAACTGGCTGGGAAATAATACTTAGGCCTACTAGCGACGAGCCATTTTGGGAATTTTTGGCCGATTATGCCATGACAATTACAACCCATAGTCTGAGAAAATACTGCCATTTTGTTGAACTTTTTTTTTTTTTTTTTTTTTTGTACTCTTGCCGCCAGCTCCTTGTCTGTTGCGTTTAGACTTGTCCCAGCTGCCTTGACTGAATGGATGTCTGTCTTCGTGTACAAATGATTGATTGAGCTGATCGGTTTATGCGCTCGTCACAGCACTAACCTGTTTGCAGTGTTATTGCTGCGGGAGGGGGACTTATCTGTAATGCCAGGGAAGCAGAGTGAGGCAGAACTGAAATTGAGCAATTAGATACCTTTCTCGGCCTTTTGGCTAGGATCAAGTGCAGTATCTGTTCTGGTCAGTTTCATATCTGATCCGTGGTCCATCGGACCACAAAAAAAAAAAGAAAAAAAAAAAGAGCAACTAGAGGGATGAGGGACAGACAAAGCAGGACGGATAGCGACAGCATATGGGTAAAATGTTGGGAGGGGAGGCAGAGAGGTGGCTATAACCTTCACAATGTGCACATAAAAAAAAAAAAAAAAAAAAAAAAAAAAAAAACCTCTTCATTCCAGAGCAAAATGTATTGATTCAGCGATCGAATCGATGTGCAGGATCAGCGGAAGATAGGCGCTCTTATTGTGTCCAACAAGGAAGAGCTGCATGCTGCTGCTGTAGCCCACAAGCTATCCCAGGGTGACAATTCTCCCCCAGCTGAAAATGACTACAGGGAGCTAATCAGACAAGAGTTGAGGAAATGGTAACATTTCCAAGTCCCAGTTTGAATAAGTTCCAGTTTGAAAAAGTTCCAGTTTGAAAAAGTTCCAGCTTGCAAAGTCCATTTGAAAAAGTCCCAGTTTGCTAGTTCCATGTTGCCCAAATTTCCCAATTGTTCTGTACTCTTTCTCCTATATGCTATTTGGAACTATTGCTAATTGATTATTAATCTCCTTTTTTTTTTTTTTTTTTTTTTTTTTTTTTTTTAAACAGAACCTCTCGATTCTGGCTCCTGCCATTCTGGGGAGCAACAGTCCGATTCCTATTCACTATTGCTAACTAATCTCCTATTCTATCTATTGCTAACTATTCGCAACTAATCTCCTATGCTGTTCCTGATGGTTCCCAGACCCTCTCCCATACTATTCCAACTGTTCCCAACTACTCTCCTCTTATGCTTTTCCTTACTCTTCCCAATAATACTGTAAATAATAAATATGCTATATATTATATTCCCAGCTACTCCCAACTTATCCCAACTATTCCCAACTAGTGCTATTCCCAACTATTCCCAACTTATCTTCTTTGCAATTCCTGCCTGTTCCTTACTAATCTCCTATGCTATTCCTAACGGCTCCCAACTACTCTCGTATGCTATTCTCAACTGCTCCCTAGTACTATCCTATGCTATTCCCAACTGTTCCCAACTACTCTCCGATGCCATTCCCAATCGTTTCCCTATTCCTAACTGCACTACAGCACTCTCCTTTGATATTCCTTACTGTTCCCAACTAATCTCCTATGTCATTCCTCGCTATTCCCAACGAATCTCCTATGCTATTCCCGACTATTCCTGACTAATCTCCTATGCTATCCTGACTGTTCCCAACTAATCTCCAACGCTATTCCCGACTATTACCGAGCACTCCCGTATGCTATTTCTGACTGTCGAACTATTCGTAACTACTTTCCTATGCTATTGCTAATTGTTCTCGAGAATCTCGACTACTCTCCTATGCTATTCCTTAATAGTTAAACTACTCTCCTATCGTACATTTGCTATCTTAGTATCTTCTCATAATCCCCCCCCTCCTCACCTCCAGGACAGATGTTCATTCAGTCCTCTCATTGCAACCGTCTGCCCTCTCCCGCCTCCCACCTCCCTGTCTTCTCCTCAACCTCTTTGTTGGTCAAGGCTGGAACAACACTGAACGCAGCCTCATGGGCTTTCACGTTGTCCTCCTTGTCCTTCTCCTTCTCCTTCTCTCCCTCCTCCGTCTTCAACGCTTTTCCATAGAAGAACGGGTACTGCGCTTTTTCTGCCTCAGGGGCAGCGTCCAACTGCAGCTTCCATTCTGCTGCAGTCGTCATGATGGAGGATGATGGTGTCAGCAAGTCTCTCAAGAGGGGTCCGAAACTCCTCCCATTTCTGGGACGAACACTCCTCACTCCCTCAAGAGCAACACTCAAACGCTTCTCCCTTCTCTCTCTCTCTCTCTCTCTCTCTCTCTCTCTCTCTCTCTCTCTCTCTCTCTCTCTCTCTCTCTCTCCACCCACATGCTGCACACAACTCACCCTCATCATGAAATATTGAACCGAAAAACTACCTTGTATAGAGGGTGTGCTGTATTCTGGGGAAGACTGTAGGAAGGGGTTCAGCCAAAAATGTAGTGGTTAAGAGGCTTGACTCTTGTGGTCGAGGGTGCCGGTTCGATTCCGTCGAAGGTCTGAGGAAGTATCTTCGTTGTCGTTGTTGTTGTTGTTGTTGCTGTTGCTGTTTTGTTTTCTGGAGGGGGGTTCGTCTTAACGTTGTCATGTACACAACTGGATTTGAACGATGTTTATCTATTGGGCCTCGCTCCACTACTCACCACATGCACAAAAGACAAAAACTATGGCACTGTATCTTCACATGTTCTAGTGGAAAAATCATTCTCATTCTGCGCATTTGGTGAGTAGTTGAGCAAGGGCCATGGTTATGTGCTTTCGTTGAACTTTGTTTTATTTACTGCCTATCATGTATGGAACAGTTGGGCTCTACAGTCTTCCCCCCTGAACACAGCCACACACCCTCCGTCACGACTGTATCATACCAGAAAGATAGCTTGTATGTAATTCAGGCGCACTCTGCAGGGGCATGTCCCGACTCACAAATTGACTGAAGCTGTTTGTTGTCTTCTGCCGTTTTCGTCAACTTTGTGACCGTTTGCGACCGTTTGTGACCGTTTGGGATTATTGTGTCTGCTTCGACAGTGTAAATTCATCAAAAGGTTTCCGAACACAGGACTCTGTCGGACCATTTGTACTTATTGATGAACCATTCTCGGTGAGTTCAGGCTACTTGTGTTAATCAGTGTATGTCGTGCCCATCCCTTCTTCTTTTTTGTTTTTTTGAAAAAGAGATGTACTGTATTGCTGGGAACAGGGCTCAGCATCCCTCACATCATATTCAGGTGACCCTATTGAAATGAGCTAGGCTCATTGGCCTAGGCAGAAATGAGGTCCAACAGATTGTGATTTTGAGTAAAACCTCTCTCTCTCTCTCTCTCTCTCTCTCTCTCTCTCTCTCTCTCTCTCTCTCTCTCTCTCTCTCTCTCTCTCTCTCTCTCTTTTACAGGGACCTTCCGTGGTCCTTGCCCCACCAGGCGGCCTGTTTTATAACACAACAGTAGACTGAGGGTTGCCTCTTGGAATATCCGGGGGGGGGCTGGTCGAGTCATGTGGCCAACCACCACAAAGAAATCCGGGAACTGAGTTTGACAATTGCAAGTGCGCTTGTCCACGCAGAACTTGTTGTTGTTGTTTTTTCCTTTCAGAAAGTGTGTAGGAACAGGCAAAAACCAGGGACTGCTCAACTCCTTCCACTACTACGTAAATCGCTAATTTGGTACTTAGGGCATCCCCGCACGGGACACGAAACGAAAAACGAAATGAGTGCATCTTCCTGCAGAAAATGGCCAGGTTCATGGGTTTGCTATAAATCGTAACGAGTGTATTTTGCCACCTTTCCTAGGCAGATGCACTCGTTTCGTTTTCGTTTCGTGTGCCGTGCGGCGAGACCCTTACTCATACTAGCCTTATGCATATGTTTTGTTTCATTTCTCTCCAAGTTTTGATCAATTTTCCAGTTGGAAGTAAATCGCAACTTTGATTCTCGCCTTTTTCTAGTGTACTGCACTTCATCTTTCTTGTTTTTTTCAATTTTTTGTTCATTTTTCCAGTACTATGTAATTTCTCGATTTACGTGTTGTCATCCTTACGTGTTGTCATCCTTGCGCAAGGGCCATGCTAATCTATCTTTTTCTGTATCGTTCCAGTTTTAACGGATATTTCCAGTGATGGATTTTCATTTCAAATTGTTGTCTAGACTTCTTACCAATGTGAGACGATCGTAACACTGTATATAACGTGCGTGTTTTTGGTAATCTAAGAGCTCGCGTCTTTCTCTGAATTTCAAAAGCTTTGATAACGATCACTATTTTTGCAGTTTAATTCTAGAAGTCAACTTCTTCAGATCTTCTTGTAATTTAATGCAAATGAGACTGCTATGGTGCTACCGGCCACACTCTTGACACACTCTTTTTTTCACAAGTTCATCGCGTTGATGTTGTTATCGTTGTTGTTTGTTTTGTTTTGCGCGTTCGGCTTTCCGACAGATCGAGAATGGGATGCTGACTGCCACCATGAAGATGAAGAGAGATGTTATTTCGGATAAATATGCGGACAAGATAAAAGCTCTTTTTTGAGTGACAAAAAGTGACATACTTGGGACACTGGTCACTGGTGGAACTCGGGAACTCCAGTCTCGCTGGAACTTGGAACTTGGGACCACCATACTTGTTGTGAAAGGTGGCACTCTCTCAGCTGCTACCCCCTGCCCCCCTGCTATGAGTCTCTGCCCATCCATTGGCTTTTCCAGGTTTTTTTTCCCCTTTTTCTTTTGTTAAATAGCCCGGACAATTCACTGTGTAATATTGTGTATGTGCTTTTGGATCGTTTGCTCTCTCTGTGCTGTGATGGGACCAGAAGCTCATCTGACACAGTCTGACGGTTTCTGGTCAGGCGATCACAGCCAGCTTGATTTCCTTGTATTGATTTTGTATGATTATTAGTTTATGCGTAAATAACTTATCTTCCAAACAAGCCGTTGGGAACGCCTGTTCCCGCTGATTCTGTCTATAGACATGTTGGGGAGTTGTTTGTGCGCCCATCGGTGCCTTCCTACCACTTTACAACCTAGGTTTCGCTGGTCCTAGCTGGGTTGGGTGGGGCCCACCAGCTGGGACAAGTCATGTTGCCCTGCTCCCCTGCCAAACTGTGTCACTCTAGTGAAACCAACTTCATGTGTCCCAGCTGGTGGGGCCCACCAGCTGGGACAAGTCGTAACACACGGATTTTCATGTACGCTAACGTTAGCTAGCCTCCATGACTATTCCTTGGATTGACTATTAGTCTCTTCTGCTATTTGGCTTTGACTGCCTACCTGCGTCGCTCCTTGCGCGCTGTATGCTGATGAGACTGCTTGTGCATACTGGCAAAGAATTCAAAAAATCCATGACCTTATTTCCCCTCGACTGCGGGAAAGACCTAATTATACCCCTTGTGCACGCCTCATGCAGTGCTCGTCAATCGTTGCACATCTCCGGGCAAAGGCAAACAACTCTGGCGAGGTCCGTCTGCACGCTCCACATCAGCGTCTTCGAGTCCTTAACTCCAGCGATGAAGAAGCTATATGTGTGCCTTTTTTGCTTAGTACCTTCTGCTCGAGGACAGTCAATGACCTTCTCTTTCTCTCTGCGGAAAGTCGGCCCCACATCCGAGTCTAGTTGAGCCCGCCTCAGGGAGGCCAATTACCTTCACTGCTAGGTCCAGTGAAGAAGAGAAGGAAGCTATCGGGTCTCCTTCCGCACCTCATGTCCACAAGCGCATTTCATGCAGCTCAGCTCCGCGCGCGACAATGCTGTGCACCCTCTTCTCCCCGGTACTCTGCTTGCACTGTACGCGCCTATACAAGCCTCTTTTTTTTTTCTTTTTTTTTCAGTTCCTCTGGGCAACCGCAGGCGAAATTCCGAAAAATGACTTTTTTGGCTTAGGCAATGAAGAGAAGGGTTGCAGGAAAGAGTTTCCGGAAAAAGGGTTTCTCCATTTCGCTCCCTGGCAATTCCTGCAAATTTTTGAAAGACTCCCTGGCAATTCCTGCAAATTTTTGAAAGACTAAGTTCTCTTGAGTTGGGCCGTACTGGTTGACATGGAAAAGCGGACGCAAAGAGTGCTTGCTAGGGGAACGGCAGCTTATATAGCTGTCGTCTCCAGTGCTACTAAGATTAATTGAGGGAGTGCAGAGGAGGGAGAAGAGTGGACCTCGTCGTCCTCCTCGTGATGAGGAGGCCATCAAATGTTCAGCACATGGCGGTGCATTTGGGGCTGTTGTGCGCATCAACAAGTACAGGTCCCAAGATGCTCGCTGCGGAAAGTTGGGCCCACATGTTAGCTGAGTGGTGCCGACAATGTAGTCGGGGGGAACTTGGGATTGGGTCCACTTGGGCGCACAATGTGGTTGGGCGGAACTTCGGCTCAGGGGCGCAATTTATTTGGGCAGAACTTGCGCTTGGGCTCACAGTCTAGTCGGGCGGAGCCTGGGCTTGGGCATACAATTTCGTCGGGCGGAAATTGGGCTTGGGTGCATAGTTTCATCGGGCGGAACTTGAGTTGGGACTCGGGAACATAATTTCCTCGGGCGGACTTGGGCTTCGGGGCACAGATCCATTGGCCGGAATTTTTGTTTGGGTGCGTCGATCAGTTGGGCGCGACTTGGGCTTGGGTGCACAGTTTAACTGCAGTGCAGTGGTGGGAGGAACTTGGGATTGGACGCACAATTCAGATGGGCCCACAATTCAGTTGTGGCTACACAATTGACTGCCGTACAAACATCTGCTGCAGCGCCATTCAGGTACCTTATGTTGGTGGCCAAGAACTTGCAACGAGGTCCTGGTGAGAATTACAAAACCGGCGCTTCTCTCACGCTCAATCGTGCATCAACGGACTGAACACATTGAAAACTGGAAGAAAGATCGGCGGCGGAGCCTGTGAGCCTGTGAGGAGAGTGTGAAACCATAAGATCTTGAGTGGACGTCAGCTCGTCACAGCAGTTAGAAAGTAGCGGTAGAGAAATTGCACAATGCTGTCTCCATTAGCACGGACTCAGAACACTCGGACTGAGCACAATCTTAAATCTTACTTGCTGCAGGCGGGCTTCCAGGGCTTGCGACAAGTTCATGGGTTGGTTTCATGTCCTTATTTTTGCATGGTTTGCAGGTTCAGCATGGCAGTTTTTTGCACTTCTTTTAAGTTCTTTTTCTTTTTTTTTGCACTTTTTGTATCATACTCGCCAAGAATAGCGCACTCTCTGTAACCATGGAATGGATCGTTTTCTGGTGAGTCGTGGTGGGACTCTGTTCTGCAAATACTTTGACTTTTGCGCGAACATTGTATTTCAATTGTTATGTAATATATATGCAGTATGTACATCACGTCACTTTTATTTTCATTTTTGGTTTTTGCAATTTTTGTTCTGCTTTTGTTTCCCCTTTTTTTCTGTTTTTTCGAATGCATCCATTTTCATTTTCTTAGTGCAGATATGTGTCCTAGTGTTGGTAGAGTTCTTTCAAACTGGATATCCTCCATGGCTGAGAGGGAGAGAGACTAAAAAGAGGGTCGGGAGGGGGGGGAGGGACGGCTGTGTTGAACTCTCCACCTTTCTTTTTGGCGGGGGGGGGGGGGGGGGTCAAGAAAAGGTGTTGCTCACGGGTTGTTTGTTTTCAACTTTTCAGTCCATTGGCTGTGAACTACTAACCAAATTTGGAAAAAATTGAAAATTAGGATTATGGTGTGGCAAAGTTGCAAACTATGTTACCAGAGTGGCCCGCAAGGCCGGGACCACTTGCCCGGGCAGGCCAAAAAAAAATGAAATATTCAGCCTCCTGATGAGTCGGTGAAACTCCGACGAAACAGTTTGTCACAGCCCCTTGTTGTCCTCTTCTCCCTCTCTGCCTACAGTTTACCGGGCAGTTCTATTTGACGATATATACTACGACTTCGCTAGCTTCCTGCTACGGTTTTCTCCGGTCAGGTCGAGTGGCAGTGGTCGGGGCCGTCACTACGCAGCCATGCTGTGCCTCTAGTGCCAGCGGCGTGTCTGGAGTGTTTTTTGGCTGTGACAGACCTTTCTTTGTTTCGTGGGTGTTTTGCTGGCTTGTGATGGGGTGTGAACCGACAGTCTGTAGAGTTTTCCATCTGGTGTGGGTGAGTGATAGTCTACTTTGATTTTGGTTAAGGTGGATT